GCCCCTCCATCTCCTTCCGCAGCTCTCTCGATGTCGCCTCTCGCCTCCCGCAGCCCCTTCTCCGCCTCCTCCGCCTCCTCCCGCGCTCGCCCGCCCTCCTTCCTCAGCTCCTCTATCCTTCTCCTGCTCTCCCGAGCTTCTTCCTCCAGCTCCTCTACTCGCCTCTCCAGCTCCCTGGCCTCCTCCTGCCTCCCTGCCGCCTCCCGCGCCTGCATCGTCATTCCCCCTCCCTATCTCCGCCGCCTCCTGCCCGCCCCGCGTTAGTCCCCAGCCTCCCAATACCCTGCCCCTCTCTCCCTCCCTCTCCCTCCCGCCCTCCCCCTCTGCCCCTCCCCCTCTCTCCGCCCAAGCCTCCTACCTCCTCCAGCTCGTCCGCCTGTCGCTTCACCTCCTGCAGCCCCTGCACCACCCGCGCTCGCAGGCTCTCCCTCGCTGCCTCCGCACATCGCAGCTGTCTGCTTCCTCGCTCCATCGCCTCCTCCGTTGTCGCCGTCGCCCGCCTGACCTCTCCCGCACACCCCGCCAGCTCTCGCCGTAGCTCCTCGACCTGGTCTTCCGCCCTTGCCTGTCCCAAGCCCTCAGCCACCCTACCTCCTCCTCCTATCCTCCTCCTCCTCCTATCCTCCTGCTTCCGCCCTCTATCCTACCCTCCCGCTGCCCTTCTCTCCCCCTTCCGTGCCGGCTCCCTTCTCCTCCTCTGCGTCTCTCTTCCCCTCGATCGGCTTACCCGCCTCTCCTCCTGCTCTCTCCTCCGACGCTCAAGCTCCTCCTCCGACGCCTCAAGCCTGCATCCCCGACACCGCACTCTCGTCAGCCCTCCCCTCCCCTCCCCTCCCCTCCCCTCCCTCCTTACCTCCTTCCTAGCTGCCTCCCGGCTTCCTCCGCCTCCTCAAGCCTCCTCCGCAGCCCCGCTGCCTCCCGCTCCCCGTCCTCCCGCTCCCTCCTCCTCCTCTCCTCCGCCGCCTCCGCCGCCCCCGCAGCGCCTCCCCGTCTCTCCTCAAGCCCTCCACCGCTGATCTCCACCCCCTCGCGTCCTCCTCTATCCCCAGCCTCGTCTCCCCTGCCTCTCTCATCGCCCTCACGCACTCTGCCCTCATCTCCTCCGCCGCTGCCCGTACCCTCCTCGCCTCCCCCGCCGCCTCCCTCCGCCGCCTCTCTGACCTCTCCGCCTCCTCCTGCATCCGCATCACCTCCTCCCGTAGCCCCTCTGAGCTTCGCCCGGCCTCCTCCAGAGCTCTTTCAAGCCCCTCCATCTCCTTCCGCAGCTCTCTCGATGTCGCCTCTGCCTCCCGCAGCCCCTTCTCCGCCTCCTCCGCCCTTTTCCAAGCTTGCTTGCATTCTTCTTTGCTGCTTTGCAGGTCTTGGCTAGTTTGTTGGAACAAAGCACTGAGAGTTAAGATGTTGCTTTCGTGCTTGTGGCGGTTGATGATATCAAATTTGATGTTTTTTGTGTGTTCCTCAATCAAACTACTTGTCAACTCTGCAAGTTCCTGTTGCAAGATAAGTGGAAGGGGAGGAGGGAATCTAGTATACCTTGTTGAACATGCTTGAAATGTTTGAGAGGTCCCGTATGATGGCCATGCATTCAGTCCGTTGAGCTTGCTTCTTGTCTGCTGATCTCCTCTCTCCCGCTGCTTTCTCAGATTTTGGGGGTTTGGTGGTCAACCCCTTGACCAATGTTGTCTCTTCCTTTGCAGGCTCTACCTGGCACGAGACGACCGCAGTCTGTCTGTCCCATCCAGGGCTTGACAATCTAAGGGACCGCAGATAAGAAAAGTGTCAATCCCCATCAACCAACACCTTTCGTGCTTGTCTGTTCCAGACTTTGATTCCAGGCCCTTGCTCATTGCCCAATCGATCTGTCTGGCTCCCCTGTTGAAGCACAGTCATTTCTTTCGCGTGCAAGACAAGTGGGAGCACTTGTTCTTCGATCTTCCTGAAGCTTCAGAGTTTAACTTCCGACAAACCAGCGCGTTCTTGTTCAGTCGATCCAACTTGCTGCAAAGAGACCCCTGCAGCATCACATCAAACAGCCGCATCACCAGCCCTCTCTCTGCCCACCTGCAAGCTCCATCCTCGGCGCAGCTCAGCGGCAGCTCCATCATCGAGGAGCTCTCTCCACCTGTCGCTTCCTTCCTCCCTTCCCTGCTGTCTTCTCGTTCCCGCCATCGCAAGTTTGAAAGAAGAGCCCCTCGGTCACCCATCACTTGAGTCAAGTCACGGTCCGACGGTCACCCGGCCCTCCGGGCCCGGCCCGGCGGCCGGGCGCTGCCGCCGAGCGACCATCGGACCGCGCCGCGGCTGTCCGCGGGCGCCGGGACTCGGGAGTCACTGCCAGGTCCCCTGGCACTGCCGCCGCCGGCCTGCCACCGCCACCGGCCGCCACCGTCCCAGTGACGGTTCCCCGGCCCCCCCCCCCCACGGACCGTACTCGGTCGAGCTGTCTATTCGGACTCGAGGTGGTTGCGCGAGTTAGTCAATGGTTAGTTTATTTAACTAGTCAGTTTAACTCTAAGGTTGTCAGTTGGGCCGGGCCGGTGCCCGGCCGCGCCCCCGCCCCCCGGCGCCGCGCCGGACCGTCGAAGGCTGCCGCGGGGGCCACCCGGCATTTAGTTCAATGTGTATTAGTCACCGTAGTCCCATTGACCATCGGAGTGTCAGAGCCCGGTTGAATACCATCCGACGATGATCCTGAGGACTTCAATGGCGACCATCTCCTGATCGTGCTGCTCCTCGGCAGTGCCCGTGCGGTTCATATTCAGCACCAGGCACAGGAGCAGAAGCTCCTTCACTTGCCAGGCCCATCCCTTCATGATGTTCTCGTAGTGGATAAACTCCTCTGAGGCGTACACGTAGTCCTGCCCGTCACGGTCGTCTTGTATGTCGACCACCCCAGCTATCATCGCTAGGATGTCTTCCCCAACCTCGGCTATGAGCTCCTGCTGCCATGGGAAGGTCTTGCCCACCCACCTCTCCACCTCCGCTCTGATCTTCTCGTCCTCGCTCTCCAGCAGCTTCGCCGCCACCCCCTCGTACTGGTCGAGCACCACAAATCGCTCGAAGTAGCGGCAGACGTTCACGTGCTGAATCCGGTGGCTGTCCTTGAAGACGCTAAGCCCATAGCAGATGCCCCTTGCCGACAGTTCGCCGTAGGTGAGGAGGAGCTGGACGAGGGAGGAGAACGTCTGCTCGTAGAGGGCATCGCTGAGGCGGGCGCAGATGGGCTCCAGCAGCACGTGCGTCATCGTCTCAAGGAACAAGTTGATGGGTTGGTGTTCTACGCCCCGGGTGGCCGTTTCAAAGATAACCGTTGTAACCGCTGATCGAACAGTTGCCATTCTGATGAAAGAAGTTGATAGTGATTGATTGTTGATTGAATCCGTTGAATCTGCTTGAAAAGTCAACAAGCTAAAGGAGTTTCATTTTGTTCCCCTCATTGAGTTTGACAAGCTAAAGGAGTTTCAAGTCATCGTGAAAGCTTCAGGAGTCTAACTGACGGATACTAACACTCTCAGCTAATAACGATAACCCTCTCTTTCTAGGCACTAGGTCTCGATCTGGTGGGGTTATGGAAGGAATGCATGGGTTCGCCCAGCAGGCTGAGGCATGTGGCTTTCTCTAATACACTAATACATGTGCCTCTAGGAGATGATATACCAGTGCTAGTCGCTAGGTCCCATACATATAAAGATGAGCCCTGTCCGCCTCAGACAGAAGAAGGTGAAAGATCAGGGGCAGCAGATGCCCCGCGAACTTCCGGTAATACTGAGAAGTGCTGACTTGTGAAGCTTTCATAGGCAGGAGTATATCGAGCTAGGAAAGAGCTCTTTTCTTGGGGGGGGTGGGGGGTGGGGAAATGGTACTGACAGAAAGGAAGAGGGTAGGGGGGGTGGACTCCTGGGTGGACCAGGAACTTTGTTGGATCACTTGTAGGTGGGATGCATGGCAAGAACGCAGCAACGGGAAAGGAATGTGATGGTAGAGGTAAGAATAGACATGTGTAGGATGAAGAGAAAGATGAAGAGAGATCTCAGATGAGAAGAAAGAATGAAGAAAACTACCAGATGAGAAGAAAGAATGAAGAAAACTACCAGATGAGAAGAAAGAGGACAGATATCTTGGATTGAAGCAGAGGTGGTTGGATGAGAAGAAACAAGGATAGACCTATCGGATCAGGAGAAGGAAGAAGACATCTATGAGATAAGTAGACAGATAAAGAAATAAGGAGAAATGTATCATCTCTCACAAGATGAAAGAAAAGGACATCTATGAGATATCTCAAAACAGATATCTTGGATTGAAGGATGACAGAGCTGCATCCATCAGATAAGAAAAAAGAAACAGACACGAGGGAGGTATCTATAAGAATTGACAGAAGAGATCTATAAAGTGGGAACAAAATTGCAAAGATCTATCAGATAAGAAGAAAGATGAGGTCATGCGAGAAGAAAGGAAGAAGAAATCTTGCAAGGTCTTTCGGATAAGAAAAACTGTAAATCGATAGAGACTGGGATTTGTGATGAGAGATCGAAAGAGACTGGGATTTATCAGTCAGGAACCAAGACAGAGAAAAGTGTCAGAAAAGAAGAAAGAAGCCAAGGTCTGTCATGTAAGATGGGAGCAAAGACGGAGGGATCTACACAATAAATACATGCAGTAGATGTGTCAGACCACGAGAAACGAGAAGAGCTCCATCAGGTGATAGCAAATATGACATGATCATGCGTCAGAAAAGGAGAAAGAGAGAGATATATGCAAGGAATTCAAGAGTTCAGCAAAGAATCATTTAGGAGAGATGTATAATAGAGCAAGCAACATGATTCAGACGTATGACATGATTGACATGATACACGAAGAAGAGTTGAGAGACGTATGCCGAAGAAAGTAGGTAGAGAGACGCGTCAGATAGGAAGGATAGAAAGATGGACGTTGGGCCAAGGATCTTGTGAACCCTTTTTCTAGATGATACGAGAAGTATGATAAAGGTCCTATGCTGATATGGCCTTGGCTAAGTCCTTTGTTAGTTTCTTGCTGCCTCAGGGGACAGCTTGCTTTAGCACTGAAGGCTACCTGCGATTTCCTTACGTTGTACATCTCCATTAGCCCCAGCTTGTGCTTCTCTTGCTCCCTTTCGTTGGATGATCTCAGTCGTTTATATGCATTACTCCACATGATTTCATGATCTGATTCCAATGATACACACAACCATGACAACCCTCGGGAAGCATGTTGCCACATACTTGCACTGCTCCCTCCTACATTCATGATCGCCCCTTATCATGTTTCCGTCTCCTGACCTCAAGAATTCTACCCTGCAAGTCCCCAGAAGCAGACAGCGGCAGTCAGGCTTCAGGGACAGTCACAGAGGGCATACCGTCCAGCCTCCTACCAAACATCAAAGTCGTTCATTGGAGGGTGAGTGCCAGCAACTTCACGATCTCCCTCGCTCCAAGTCCTTCTGCTTTGATACCCGTTGCGATCATGGAGTTAGACTATGTCTTGCCCGTGCTATCACAAGCATACATGTTGTAAGGCATGCAACAACGAGACTGTTGCAATGACAAAGAGGTTGCGTGATTCTCTCGCAATCGTTCACATATCTAATTTCCCACAACAACTTCAACTTCCTCACAACTCCTCAATCTGTCTTCGCCTTCAAACAGCAGGCACACCATGATGTCTCGGTACCCGTCGGGCGCCTCCTCGAGGCTCAGCTTGTTCTTCACCCGGCACACGCGCATGCCGGTCTTGCCTTGCGACGTCAGCCAGCGATACACTTGCGCCATGTGGCTCGGGCGGTTGCAGATGACGCTTGCTCGCACCTGCACGCACTTGAGGGACTGCAATCGAGACCTGTCGTCCTCCTACCGGGTCAAGAACGCGACGGCTGTAAGGCCAGCCAGCATCCTCCTCCTCCGCCGCCGCGTACTCCATCACCTTCTCAGCCATCCTCGGCTTCTTCTTCACCGCAGCCGGTACGAACTCGATCGGATGCACTCCGTCATCGAAATGGCAGGCGATCCTGACCCCCTTCGCCCCCTGGCCTGCGGCTCTTCCAGCGGGTCTCTCGACTTCACACTCGGCCGCATGCGCCTTGAGGACGTCGACTAGCTTGCTATGGAACGAGTCGTTGAGCAGCACCGCACGGCTGTGGAGTTGCGATATGAAGACATCCTCTCGTAGCATCAGGCTCCCCGTGCTCAGCCGCCTCCACGTCTCTAGTTTCTTGTGCAGGCTGGACTCCTTCCTGTCTTCCTCCTCCACTCTGATCGCTCGCACCTGTCATACGGTCATGCCTGTCGGCTACAACCCATCGCCCTGGCAGTACCTGATGGTCATCCTGGTAGAACAAGGCGTCGGCGAAGCCTTGCCCGACCTCCTTGAGCTCAGCTCCTCCTGCTTCCTTCATCATGGACTCATATCTTCTGTCGTTGATGCGGGCGAGCTTGTCCATGAGCCGCTGGATGTGCTTCTTCAAGCGAGGCAGGAGCTGCGGGTTGTCTCGCCAAGCGTTGAGTCGCAGCACACGCCCGGTGAAGTATTCATATGCTCGCTCGAAGTCTCCGCTCAGGTACTGGGTGAAAGCTTCATCCTCGTACAAGCTGTGCGTTGTCTCTGCCATCAACACATCTCCAAGGCTCTCTCGAGACTGCAGCATGCGAGCCTTCCACCCCACCGACAGCATGTCGCTGCCTTCCTCTTCGCTCCTCGAGCTCGAGGGGCTCAGGATCCGAAGACACACCATGAGGATGAGGCTGTGCAGTCGCTGCATCATCTCGGTCATCTCCCCCCCCCCCCTGCTGCGCCTCGAGGTCTAGCGCGTCCGTCTCCGCCTTCATGGACTCCTCGTCTGCTATCATTCCGAACGACCTGCCCGCAACGACATCTGCTCTGTACTTGACAAAGTCGTAGAAGCGCTCGAAGTCGTTCTTGGCAAAGTCATCGCCCAGCGCAAGCTTGGCCACGGCCTCTACGCTTCGCTTGTCCATGACGATGACCCTCGACCTCCTGTAGCAGCTGAAGATGGAAGACGACTTCTCGCTCGGCAAGATGTACCCTGCGCTCACGGTGACTCCCAAGGCTTCTCGGACTCGACTCATCATGTTTGACAAGTCTGTCTCCTCTGCCGTTCTGTTTCTGAGCGACGCCTTGTAAAGCCGGTAGAACGCCGCCGAGATCGCCAGCAGAAGTACCAGGAAGCCTCCGCTGACTGCCAGCACGATCGTCAGCAGCTTGTCACGACCTTGACCCGACCCGTCACTGGGCGGATTCCAGCCGCTTCTTCCGCCAGGCCACAGCGGAGTCAGTCCGCTAACGTCGGCGAAGGCCTGGGCGGCCTCCCACGTACCGATGACGACGGACTCTATCACGGACGCGTTCGCTGAGGACGGCTGGATGTTCTCGATAGTCACGACGATCCCGTTGGGCTCTCGATCTCCCGACGCGTCGAAGGACACCAGTCCCGAGGCCCCGGGGAACGAGGAGTTTCTGATCGCATGAGCAAGCGCCGCCCCCGTGCCGTTGGTCTTGGCCAGCCCCAGCGCAGTGGCCCACGCGGCATCGTAAGCGAAGGAGGCATAGTCGGGCAAGGGCATGGAGTACTCCGCGGGCTTCATGCCGATGATGGAGTTGTTCACCTTGGACTGGTCGACCGTCCTGAAAGCGGTCTCAAGGAGGTCTCGCTTCTTCCCGTACAAAGGAGCGACGCGAATCTGTATCCAGCCCTTGAGAAGCGCCGCCAGCTGCTTGTGCTGCATGGATGCCACCACCGCACTCGGCACTCCTATCTCCCCCGCCACCCACGCGTGTCCGTCCTGCAAGAGCCCCTCCTTGTTGGAATAGGTCAGCACCAGCTCCAGGTTGGGTACGCCGATGCCGAGGTAGAGGAAGATCTTGGCGCGGCTCTTCTGCAGGGAGCTCATGGCTGCAGCAATGGACTTGGAGCCTTCTGGCACAAACTTCTGTACTTGAACCAAGTCGACGCCCTTGGACGAGGCTTGTTCCTGCACATTTGACAGGAAGCCGTTGCCGTAGGTTGTGTCCTCACACAGGACCGCGATCTGCTTCCACTTGAACCGGAGGCATACCTCGATGAGCGCCATGGCATTCAGCATGATGAGAGGGTTGGTTCGCGAGAAGAGCGGGTACGTCTGCTTGTCCGAGAGAAGCGTGGAAGAGGCCCCGAAGCTCGTCACCGGCGTCCCCTGCAGAGCAGACACAAGGCTCACGACCTGCGACCCGTCCGAGGTCATCGGGCCCACTATCGCATCGATGCTCGACGACTCTCTCCACGCCAAGACTTCCTTGAGCGCCTCTGCTGCGTCGAACTGCGAGTCTTTGAACTTCACGTCGATGCGGAAGCCCTGCCAGCTCACGTCACGCCCAGCACCAAGGCCAGCTCGTCGCAGACCTGGGGCAGGCGGTCGACGACGGCTTGGCCGACGATCTGAGGGTCTCGAGTGTTGACGTGATAGAGCGCGATGAGGCAGGCCATGGAGACCTGCTTGAACGCCAGGAGAGGCACAGACCCGTACGTCTTGACCAGCACCGGCGACAGCACTCCCACTGTGCTGTTGAGCGACTGACCAGCGGCCGATGAGGAGGAGAGGATGCAGGCAACGAGGAGGAGGGGTGGGAGCCTGCTGGTCATTGCTGGTGGTGCTTCGGTCCTGGCGGAGCCTGGAGGAGACAAAGGAAGTGATCTTGAAGGTAAGTTGGGATCAATAACAACCTGTGATCAATGCATCATAGCAGTCAGATCCTTTCCTCAACACTTGAAGAACTCGTTCATGCGCCTTTCCCTCGCTTCTTATCCATTTTCATGAAATCTCTGCAACTCAGCTTGCCTGCCAAGTTTTTCCTTTGTTCGTCTTTTCTTCTAATCATCAGATGCACTCATACCATGCTTGTTTTGCAACCCCCTCCCTGCTTCCCCCCTCCCCCCTCCCCCGCCCGCTTCCTGATCCCTCCCATCTTCCCATCCTTCTCTCATTCCTTTCCCCCTCTCCTCTCTCCCTCCTCATCTCTATCTTCCTCTCCCTCCGGCTTGCTTCCTTTGGGGCCTCTCTTGCCTCCCAGATCTCCCTGCCTCCCATTCTCTTCCTCCCTCCTACTTTTCTCTCTCTCCCTCGAGTCTCAGGACGTGTAGAGATCGTTCTAACTTGCTCCGAAGTGTCAAACTAAGTTTCGGTCTTCTCTCACTAAGAATACAACTTGTCATGAGGAAGAAGAGGCTGCGGGTGCCATAAGTAATTAGGATGCCGCGTTATTTAACAAAAGACGCACGAGCCGGTCACAACAGCATGCCCAGCCTGCAGGACTCCCTGCGCCCGGGGGGTCTGCTGGCCTCTCGCAACGTCTACGTCTCCGCCTCCGGACTCTTCCTCCTCTCCCTCTACGTCGCCGCCCTCCGCCACGTCAACCCCGGCGCCCACACGTAGGCTATAGCAAAGATTCATTCATAAACCCACCAATTCCCTCACGCGGCCACGAAGGTGAGAGCGGGCTGGATCGCGGAGTACACGAGGGTGAAGTTGGAGGACTGGATGGGGAGGAGGTCGAAGTAGCCCGCGCTGTTGAGGTTGTTCATGCCGGCGTTTCCGCACTGCATTAGTTCCTGCTGGAGGCCTTGAGCGTGCAGTAGGACGTGTTGTAGGGCTGGGTGACGAGGTAGAGGATCACCACGCTGAGGATGAAGATGTTCACGAGCAGCAGGGCCACGTTGTAGTAGATGACGAACTTGTGCTCGGTCCTCATCACGTAGTTGCCCAGTGCGAGGAGCGGGATGCTGAGGATGAAGCAGAGGAAGGCAGACCAGGCCGGCGTGCTGCTGATCGGGTTGCTCCACAGCGAGCTCAGCAGCTGCGTGTCGTAGACGAGGATGTTCGCGTAGAGGATGAGCACGGCGGAGAGCATTAGGATGGTGTCGTTCCCGGACATCAGGCCGAAGCGCCGGGCTCTTCAGGCCCGTCTGGAACCCGGGCCCTCCTCGTCCCACCTCGCCGCCCGTCCTGCCCGAAGCGGCCACTGGCCATGACCAAGTCGGCCCGGACCTGCGCCTGCTGCATGACTCCTGCGTAGTGGAAGCTGATTGGGTTGATCTTGCGGTAGTTGAGGAGCCGCATGATGATGCCCATCACTGAGCCGGCCAGCACCGTGCCGCAGCGCACCCAGGAGGCCTGGAAGGTAGTGACTCCACCGCATGGTTCCGAGTTCAGCGCGATGGCGTAGAGGCTGATCACGAGGGTAGGCAGCAGGAAGACCTGCGAGGACAGCAGCACGGTCACCGGGTAGTGGTGGCGACAAGGGAGGCTACGGTCAGTACTACTGTAGTCCTCGTCAAGCAGGGGAACAAGGCCCGGGCTGCAACTTCAAGATGCCGTACTGAGGTCGGCACGCCGGAAAGACAGCCTACCGGGTGAGCCTGATGAGGCTGGGGTGGGGTGGGGTCCTTGAGTTGAACTGCTACGGTAGTAGTACCAGCTTTGAATTTCGTGCCACCCCTGGTTGTCTCTCGGGCCCCATGGTCGCCTGGGAAAGTACTGGGTGGGTGGTGTTCCATCCGCTGTTCATTTTGGCACAACATACCAAATTTACCTACAATATTTCAAAGTTTAATTCACATTTTTCAAAAATTTGAATTCGGTGGTTCGGAAGGGCACTACCTTTCCGGCGGGAGTGTGAGGTGCTATGGCAGCCGCTGCAGCATGACGAAAGCCTGGCATGGCGATGATTGATGACGATGACGAAGATGATGATAACGATAATGACAAGTGAAAATCATAGTGGATGTGGGCAGTATAGAGAGAGGGTAGATGATGCTGGCAAGGGTGAAGGAGGAGACAGAATTAATATGATGGAAAAGAAGACCATGTAAGATTCTTTTGATCAGATAGCAAGTTGGCAGAATTCAGAACATCTGGCGCCTCTACAGTTTACGAAGAGCGAATTGTAAATGCCTTTTTTAGGTTGTATCTTCCATCAACATAAAATGCACAAGAGCTATTTTTCAAACTGAGTTCAAGAGTGATTTTGACCTCTCTTGTTGCTTAGATTGCAGATCATGCCAATAGGAAGAGACTTCATCAAGCCGCGAGGGGCCTCGGAGGGTGCCGTGAACAAGGTAAGGTCGGGTGAAATACTCCCCACCATGGGTTTGGTTGTATCTCATTCGTGTTGGTAAGGTCTTCCTGTTTGGTTTAATTGACTTCATCATATGCGCCATCGCAACCGGTTTCGGGATGACGAGCTTCATATTTGCTCTTCAAGCAAATGTATGTAATAGCCCAGGACCGACAAATCCCAGCACGACAAAGTATCCAGCGGATTCCATCCTTTTGCCACACAACCACATATTGGATACTATCCTTCACCATATTTGAACGACAACCCGTACAATTGTATCGAGGAATGCAAATTTCAGTGCACCAACTATGCGAATCAATTGTATTTGCTGTCAGTCTGCAAGGACTGCCTTTCAAACTGCACTCATCCATGGGGCGATAACATCGACAAATGTGATACGCTGCCTCAGTGCACGGCTACTATTGCGGGAACAGCAAATCAATGCCTTGATGTGGCAAAGTGCTTCAAAACCTGTGCCGGCACCACTGCTTCAGGTGTCGGATTCAAAGGATGTTTGTTTGCATGCCGCGACACCGGCAAGATTGCGATGTGGTCCGGGCTTACTTCTTTCATCTTGTTTTTCCTTGCACCGTTCATTGTTGTCATACCTCTGGTATTCGCCAAAGTGACAGGACAAAATGAAGTCAAGAACATGTTTTTCCTTTTCATGTGCTTTTTTATGTGGTGCGGAAGTGCAGTTATTGGAATCGACATTTTCATTCTCCAATTCTCTGGTAGCCACATTTGAATGGACTGCCTTACGATCCTGACTTGATCTCCAGGTTACAATAAACAGATTGGGATGCACTTCATGTACGTCAAAGATCAAGTTGACAGGGTATAATTTCCAAACGTAAGATATTTGGTTGATTTCAACATGATTTAAACAGGCGTTTGGTCTTTATCAAGCCAATTTGACACCCAACTTTCTCATTGGAGTTTTGCTATGCACCGAAGTCCTCGCGAATCTCTTCTTGGTTTTGTCATTCTATGATTTTTGGGTAGGAGTTGTCCAGATATCGTTACAGCACCTCTGATCCGAGATCTTTTGCGGTACAGGAAGTCTGGTACAGGACCCACGACCCGAGAACCTCACACTTGCCCAAGAATCCTGAGCCGGCGCCAAGCCCTCCGCCCGTTGAACAGCCAAAGGTGATTCCACGCAAAGGCGAGCGGTTGGATGAGGCTGAGACTGTGCTTGCAGCCAGTTAAAATGCCAGAGCAACCCAAAGGACCTCCTACAAAGGTCGAGCAAGCGATCTAAAGGATGCCTGTGGTTTCATTGACTGAGGAATGCAGCATCCAGAAGTGACTGTCGGGCTGCAGTTCGAGATGAAAGTGAACAGGTTCAAAAACTCAGACGGTCAAGAACAGATCGTACAAGAGGTGCAAGTGAATACTATTGTCCCAGGGGGTGCTGCCGACAAGGTCAGTGTGACTTAGCACTTGAAATCTGTAGAGAGCTCCTGACAATCTTGTGATCGACTTCAGGCAGTGCAAGCGAATGGGAGAAGAGTTGCCAAGGGAGATGTAGTTCTCAAGGTCGGAGATATCAAAGAGGATGGAACGGCTGACTTGCAAGGTAGGCATTTTCGCAGTTGCTGAACTCAACCAATCATTTTATTTCAGATGTTTATGGGAAACCGATAGTCGGGTCAGACGGTTGGGTGCACATTGTCCAAGGGAAACCAGTAAGCTAGAATCATGATCGTTCTCTCGTGCAGGGGCAGGTTAACTCCATTCACTCTTGTGCTTCAGGCTGGAACGAGGATCCGATTCCTGTTTGCAAGGCATGAAGAAAAGTTGCAGGTGACGAAAATCTTCAATTTCTACATGATGTTAAGATTTGCTGTGTTGGGTTCAGTTTCAATACGACATTGTTCGTGAGCTTGTGCCAAATTTCATGAAGCAATATGGCGTGGACGGTCCCCCTCCATTGCCTCCTGATTATGAATAGACTGAGTACCTGTCTTGTCATTTGAATAGAAATTAGAGGATCAAACGTAGGATTGCGTTCATTTGTACAATGCATTTCGCAACGAAAATCAGTATTACTACAAGAGGCTATATGAAAAGGTGAGGAAGAGCAGCAACCTACCACTGTTGGTTTGCTATGAAAAACAGTCATGCTTGCTAGACGTCAACAACGATGCATAACACAGGTCTCATCTGTACGATCCTCAAGAGCCCAAGGAAGACCCGGACATGCAAGTCTTTACAAGAACAGAGAGTCGCTGTTTCCTCTACAAGAGCAAAGACACATCTCGTTTCGTCTCCGTTCTCATTGTCATCGTCGTCATTTTAAGCGGGCGCAGGGACCAGGTTCATTTTTAGTAAATTCACTCTCGATGTCCACGCATCACTCATGACCCTACCCACCCTGTGGCCATACTTGACCCCCGAAAATCCTGTCTACCACCCACCCCAAACCTCCTTAACATTCCCCGTGAATCTGAAATACCCCACCTGACTCTCCATCAGCGCTGATGCGCAGATGCGATGAGTCGTAGAAGTCCTAGAGGAAGGAGGAAGGCGGGGAGGTGCCAAGGCAGCAGAGGACAAGAGAGAGAGAAGAAGAGGAAAGAAGAAGAAAACAAAGAGGAATGAACAGGGAGAGATGAAACGGGGGGCGAAGGGGCGAAGGAGGGAGGGGAAGGACACAGGGTTGGCAGTTATGAATGGGAGGGGATGGGTGGGCAGGGAAGATAGGGGCAAGTACAAGTCAAGCATATTGAGAGAGAGAAGGGGGGGGAGGGGAGAGAGAGATGGA